CAGACTGACTATCATCATTTTAATTCTTAGGGTCTATAACAGTATAGCAATAATAGAACCAAAGAAAAAAGGCAGCAAGAACTGTGCCAAGAGACTGGGAAAAAATAATAGAACTAGTCAAGATACTGAACTAGACCTGAACAGTGGACTAGATGCCTGAACATGATATGAGACAGCTGCTGGATGGGTGAACCAAACTAGGGAGAGCTACTGGATGCCTGAACTGGACCAAGAGAGACTGTTGGGTGGCTGAACCGAACCAGAGAGAGCTGCTGGATGCCTGAAACGAACCAAGAGAGACTACTGGATGACTGAACCGGACCAAAAGAGACTGTTGTATGCTTGTATGCTTGAATCAGTGCGAACCAATCTGAAAGAGCTAAACACTGCTGAACCGGGCCTGAACCAACCCAGAATTGGACCAGATTAAGGTGAACCGGGATGAACTGAGATGACCCAGGAATGAACCAATCTGCTGGAGGAACCAGTCTGCTAGTGGATCTAGACTGGGCTGACTCAACTGGGTCGGGTCTTAACTGGGCTAGGTCTGGACCGGGCTAGAACTGAATTTGGATTTGCTAATTAAGCCTATTGATTGGGCCAGTTGAATTTTGTTGTTGGGCTGGACTTGAGAACAACCTAACCCGCCTTAGTAACCCGACCCGTGATGCACAGTCTTCGTCTTCTTCACTGCTAAGGATTCACTGAAACCCCTCGTTTAACGTCGCCTCAATGACGTAACAACCGACGACGACACCAGCGCAGCACCACTACCACAACAACACAACCACCATGTCGCCACAGTAAATCGTCGACAGCTAACACAACACCCACCAACAACGGCACAACACCTCCACTGCCAACGACGCAGTACCACCAACGACGAAGTACCACCACCACTACCTTAACGAATCGCGGTCAACAGAACGTAATTAACAAAGCTACACCACACTTACACTTGTGCGATCATTGCACCAATAGCCACGATTTGAAGATCATGACCATGGTGCTTACAACCGAGCCACGAACAATGAAGGAAAAAGAAAGAAAAGGAAGAAACAAAAATCAAAGAATCAAATAGTCTTTCAATGGATTAACCTTGCTCTGATACCATGTTAAGTTTAAAGATTTAACACAATATTAGAGAAAAACGGATAGTAATTAAATACTTGACCTACATCTCACAAATCACTTGTATTTATATTTAACTCGTATCCATACAAAAGACGTGTATACCCTCTAGTGGTATACTTATTGATGGGGATCGTGTAGGAATTAGATAGATATTTTAGATTAATCATGAAAATAATTTAGATACTTTTAATATTTATCTTTTAAGTAATTTTTTTTAACTTTTGATTGTTTATTTGTTATTATTTATTTATTTTATAGTTTTAGTTTCACTATATAAAAGGATGCATGTAAGGGTTTTATTTAGATTAAACTTTGATTATTATTAAATACTGATTTTGGTTCCTTCTCAAATTCTATATCTCTTCTCATCCCTTTCATCTTCTCTTCATATCCCTAATTCTTCCATTCCCAGTCTACATCAATTTGATATCAAAACTAATACGATTTACATCAATTTAGTATCAAAGCTATTACGATCTATGTCAATTTAGTATTAGAGCTATAAATTAAAAAGAGATATAAATTGAAACAAAAGTATTTGTCTACTTCCTATACAAATCAATTTTATAACCAATGACTCAATCTTAAACAACATTCTTTTAGTGTCTCTGATTACTTTGTCCAATTCGATTATCTCATATACTTGTGTGACATTGTTGATGAACCTTAGACAATTGATCAGTTTATTCTTGAGTTGAGACCAAAAATTAGTAGGGAGGTCAACCTATACATTTTTAATACGTTAGTGACAGCCTATCAATATACTCTAAAGGTTGAGAAATTTCATAAAAAATTCAACTATAACTTGATGGGTTCTCAATCACAGTCAGCTAAATAACGTGAAAGGATAACTTCTAATTTTAATTCCACCACAGATGAGTATTATGATTACTTGAATGATGTCCATGTTGTTTCTGCATATTTTTCTAATTCCAAGGTAACCATGAATTTTGATGACACTCTCACATACAAAAAAAGATGTTAGATAGATATTTTAAATTAATCATGAGAGTAATTTAGATATTTTTAATATTTATCTTTTAAATAATTTCTTTTAACTTTTGAGGATTTATTTGTTATTATTTATTTGTTTTAGGGCTTTAATTTCTCTGTATGAAGGGATACATGTAAGGATTTTATTTAGATTATTATTGATTATTATTGAATACTAATATTGCTTCCTTCTCAAATTCTCTCTTTTTTCTCATCCCTTTCTTCTTCTTTTCTCATTCATAATTCTTCTCTTCCTAGTTTACATCAATTTGGTATCAGAGTTTTTATGATCTACATCAATTTGATATTAGAGCTAATACGATCTACATCACTTATTACAACTAACTAATATTTACACAATCTCCTAACACTCTTAACACCACGTACAAGTCTAGGTCCCACGTGACTGAGGGTTAAAGGGATGCTGTATCTCACATCGAATAATTAGGACCACCAAAGGTTGATTTATATACTTGAGGGGCCACTTTACTCGTTTCTAACAGCATCATCAAGCAACACTTCCAATATGAAAAGGTTCAATCATTTATGTACATTTCTTTTCTTTCTTTTTGTTTTCTGATAAGCATGCACAGTTTCAACATAAATATGAGTCCAGTGAATATGAACATGTAAATTTTCTTACGTCATAGTCTTTTTTTAACTGTATAATAATAAAACCCCTATTTTTAACATGTCATATATATAATTTCCTGATAGTACACTGCAGTACCAAAAATTAAAATATCGTTTCGATGTATTGTTTCGGTCACCTACGAAACGGAAACGTTTCGACATGTTTCGAAAACATTTCAATCCGTTTCGGAAATATAATGAAAAAAAAAAAAAAATTTAAAAATTATTTTTTTAAAACATTGATTAAAATATATCAAAATATTTTGAAATATATTGAAACATTCCAAAACAATTGTGCAAATACATTGAAATATTATAATACATTTAAAAACATTATGGAATACCTCAAAATATCATAATTTCGATTACATCACTGTTTCGTTTCGGTCTCCTTGGAAACGGAAACGTTTCGACCGTTTCGAAACAATATTTTGATCTTTGTGTATAACCCATTATCATATCTCACTAGCCTATCAAATCGGATACCACAAAGAAGCTGCTCCCAATCTCACTCAAATTTGATTGAACTACAGTTGGGCAGATTACATACAATCAAACCCAAATAGAAGGCAATGCATGAGCTTAGATTTCTCTCATAAGGCTCAGCATGTGTACCAGGGATGAAGCTAGGAATTTCTCTTTTGAGGAAATATTGGCAAAAATGTTCATATGATTAACCAAAGTTTTGTATGCTAAACAATTATCAAAAACAAATTCTGATCACATTATATATGCACACAAATTCCAAACTGAATCAGTTTTGTTCTGTTTAACAACTAAATAGTGGCTTAAGATTGGAAAAAGAATTTCTTAGTCCTAAAGTTGGAAGCTAAACAAAAAATTGGGGGCGGGTGGAATTGTAACTACCTTAAGGGTTACTTTAACCCCATAACTTTATCCATGATGATACTTGAACATCATGCATACAGTTTCACAAGCATGCATACATCTGCAGTAACTGATGATGTTAAATGCGAACAGAAACTAACGCACGTCATTTTCATAATATATGCATTCAAATTATAAAGCAATCCTGAGACTGTTGCAACAGAAAAATTGATACATTAAAACAGTGTTCTATAGAATGCCAACATCTTTGCTAGCTTGAGTTAAAAAGAAATAGGTTTAAGTCTAGGTGGACAACAGCTTCAAAGCAATTATGTTTTCATCATGTTTAATTCAATTAAAACAGGATGTAAATGCATTTTGCTCTTACATAATAAATTGGAACATTTCTATAGAAGTGGATTGTTATTTGTTGGTGAGGTCGGTTTTAGGCGCAATCAAAGTTGGCCTGACTGAAACCTGACAGACTTCAACTAGGATAGCTTGTATAGTAGCTGAACCAGGCCAAGCCTAATAGCCAAAACAATCAACCTTGATCAGCTGTTGGTCTCACGAACAATGGTCTTTGAATTAAAGAGAGATTAAATCTTTTTTTTTTTGTGGAGTTACAGGAATAGTTCAAAGAGCTTAGACGTAAATTCAGATGNTTGGCTTGTTAGTCTCACGAACAATGGTCTTTGAATTAAAGAGAGATTAAATCTTTTTTTTTTTGTGGAGTTACAGGAATAGTTCAAAGAGCTTAGACGTAAATTCAGATGGACTTCAATGGCATATTGATTTTTTTTTCTTTTTTTTTTTTTTTTGTGTGAGACATGATAGATGCTATTTGACTTGGAATCAGAGCTTGTCAGTTTGTCTTTTATGCCATTTGATGACATACAAATTTAAAAGGCTATCTACTAATTGTTTGTGTCCAATCATCGCATGGAGAGCGAAAAAATGAATATTCTCATGGCTATCACTCTCAATATTCTATGTGCTGTTACAAGTACTCTATATATCCACAAACCAGACTGAGCAACTCAGTAACCTAGCCAAACCAAACAGGAAAGACCAAGCTATGGTCGAGCTCAATCCAAGCTCATACATTCTCCTTGATTAGCCGAGCCAAGCCTGAACATACTGTTGATTCAGCCCCGATGTTACCCTCAAAGAAGGAAATCATGCAGGACCATTTGCAATGAATTAAGATGGGAAAATGGGATTATTAGATCCATTTTATAAGATAAAGCAGAGCTTAAATGAAAGAAAAGATTTAATAACTGGATAAAGGAGAAAAATTCCTCCACTTCACTCCTTATTTGGTAAATGAAAATCGACACAAAACAATCTGAAACCAACAGCAATTTAAAAATGATAACATAATTAGTGAGAATAAGAAATCTTTGCTTTAATTATGTTAAGTAGTTACCTGCATAGTGGATTAACAACATGGGGCTGCTTCCATCCTTGGCTTGTCTCCCTGCACTTCCAGAAATGTTTTTGCTAGCAGCAGCATCAGAATCCACCAAGCCAAGCTGCCAGGCCTTCAAGGTCACTGGTATGATCACTTCTGCACCAGGTTTCAGAGGGAGAGCGGATTTTAAAGTTTCATAAGCAATTGATGTAACCGAATCTTGGTTTTTCCCTGATAATGAAATATGTGCCTGCTCAACTGGAACTGTGCCTGCATTAGCCAGACTAATCCATACATCACGAATCTCACCTTCATATAATATGACGGCACCATCACCACCTACAACATGTGAAACTAGCAGTGGCAGTGAGGGTACCACGGAAATACTTGGAACAGATATGTTTTTCAGCTTTGCAGACCCGCAGCAGCGAAAAGGATCAGAAAGCACTAGTCCTTGTGCTGCTCCAAGGAGCAGATTATCAACATCCTTGAAAAAATGTTCAGTAATTACACCAAAACAATGAACAATGCATCCAGGAATTGACACTGGCCCCACTTTAGTTGGAATTCCAGATAAGGTTATCACTTTTGAAGAATTAGGCGGGAGATTCGCTCTAATGGGAAAAGCATCAAAATTTTCAGAATGCACTGAGAGATAAATACTATCAACCATTAAGTCAAACCCACATGGGTTGGCCAGTTCCACCAACACCTGTACTGGTTCTCCAACAACCCAAACCAGATCCTGCTTACTGCTATGATTTGGCTCTCCTTTGCTGAATGGTGTATAAATAAAAGGCCCTGAAGGAGCAGACCCTGCCCACCAATCTTCTCTTGTCGGATTGCGTTTCACAATGTCCATTTGTGAGGGATGGAGAGGAAAAGAATGCAACCTGGAAGGATTAGAAGTGATGAAAAGATAACTAGATATATATGTGGAATGTGGAAAGGATAGAACTCCAACTCTATATATTTAAGCCTAGCACATTTTAGTTATTAGTTTCAATGTCAAAACATAAAAATGGGTAATGCAGTGCCCTCCACTATGACAGATCATATTGAGGACATAAGGTACGGCCACTAATGCCTTCTCAATCCAATAAATGTCAAAGACCTAAGAAGCCGGAGTGACAATTGTCTTAAGCAGCTCAAAATGTCACAGAAAAAAGGTTGCAGGGGACAGCATCAAAGCATTGTGTAATCTGAAAGGAAGAGGATTTTAAAAACATAACTCAGTTATAAGCATCTCATTCTTACATACTCCATGCATGGAGGAAAAATATCAGAGATGATCATATATAAACTGAATAAAAATATCTAAGATGTCTATGACATCAGGATTAGACATGCTCCTTTGTCCTATCTTCTCTGAAATCTCTATGATATCAGAGAGTCTCCTTTAGCTTTCCTTCAATTATTTATTTTGTTTAAACTATCACTCCTACTGGGAGAAAGCAAACAGCTTCATCATGCAAATAAACAGGAACATAAACAAGGAGAGACACAAAACATTTGACATAGAAGTTGTGTTTAAAATGGAGGGAAAAAGAAAGAAACACGCAAGCTGCAAGTATCTCAATGAAAAACGAATAATACAATGTCAACAATAACAAAATATATGGCACAAATGCATTTTGAGCCCAGAATGTGCTTTGTTTTGCATACAAGACTTGGATTGTAGAAGGTATCAAAGCCATGAAAGAAAATTCTCCATTAGTTTAGCAATGTATGGAAAGATTATCTAAAGTGGATATCACATACGAAGGGCATACTGTGCCAATATTTGAGTAGTTCCAGGAACCAGTTAGAAAAAAATCCCTCACAGGACACCAAGGGTTCATTTGTTTAGCACGAATGTGGTGGAAGTGAGGGAAAGCAAAAAAAAATCTGAGACTTTCTACGTTTGTTTAACACAAAATATGGCAGAAAATGTAGGAAAAGGGATTCCCGCTCATGCCAAATTTTCTCGCAAACTACCCAATTGGTTTCTGCAAAAAGCACAGGGAAATCTTCTTTTTTTCCATGAAAGTGCAGGATACAATTCACTTTTGACCATTTTGCCCACAATTCTATGGGAGCTTCTCCCTTTCTTCTTCCAGAAAGTGCGGGCAGCAATTGCACAACAAACTCCAAAAAATGTACAGTCACAACACCACCAGTATCTATTCACTCCACTGGCCAACTGATATTCCAGATTACCTGTCCGATAGCAGTAGCAACAGCAGAGATCTCACAGTCCCTGTTGAAGGTGTTTTGATGGCAAATTTAGGGTCACTGATGAGGATGGATCTGCAGATGCATTAAGGCGTCAGAGAGGTGGAAGGGGACTGCGATTGAAGGTGGTGATGCCGGAGAGGAAGTGCCAAAGAAGCTACTCGCATCACTTGAGAAGGAGATTGGTAGTGCTTCTACTGCCAGATTTGTATCTCCCAGGTCCTTCATTTTGTTAGTTGTTGTTGGGTTATGAGAGAGGCGTTTCATTGTTGCTGGGTGAAGGTTTCTAGAAAGTTTGTAAGAGTAGTGGTGTACCAGTTGATTCAGTGAGGAGAAAGAAATATAGTGTTGAACTGGTCAATGTAAGGGTAATTTAGACAATTACAAAAATATCTTATAATTTTCATACTCTCCAGATTATATAATGATATTTTTCTTACAACTTTCCCACAAAATTTTCACTTTATCCAAATTGATGCAAGGAAATATATATTCTTTTCTCTTCATTTTCTATCATTTCACTTTCCACTATTTTTTGCTTTCTAAACAAACAGACCCCAAGGGATGGCAAGCAAGGAGCACAAAAAGTCCTAACTGACAGAAGGGAAAAGGAAAAAGAGCAAAAACCAACATCTAGATCTTAAAAATGGATTCCTAAAAGTGAGACAACCTCCCAAAGAATCAAACATATAATGAATTGAATTTAGTAGAACATAATTCAGCTTGTCTTCCCCCCATCAAAAGACTATTTCTCCATTCCATCTACAACATAAATATTGCAGTGGAGCTACCTTCCGTGCATCTTACCTACTGCAATTGTCAAATGCTATACCTCGGCAGTGTACCAAGACATCATCCATGCAACACCAAACAAGAGAATAAAGTGCCTGGAGCACCCACATCATCAAATAATGTAAAAATATATAAATAAATGTTCCTCAGCTCCTCAGTGCATACAATACCATAAGTAAGAATGTTGATTCCCAACACCAAATTGACTGTCAAGTTTCAGAGAACACGCAATCATTTTGAAGGGACCTTTTGACTACCATCACGAACTTGCCAGACATAGAAGGTTCACAATGCAGCAAACCTGTACCACACCTCCAATGGTGACTGTACATAACAAGTCAATCATGGTACCCACGGGCCACAGCCTCCAACTCTCAGTAGTATGCAGCCTGATAGTGTGGTTGCCAGATACCACAAATGCGGGCCTAAAAAACCTAGTTTCATATCTCTTCAGTTCATATTTTGCATCAGAAGCACACCTCCTATCCATTCTTCACAGTAAAAAACTATGCTTTACGAACTCCCCCCATTGATGTATGCCCTTCTGTGCCATGCCACTCCTACTCCCCATACAGGATGTCCAAGATCCTCAGTTTCTTATTTACAGTCCAGTACCTTTGTCCGCAGCATTTCTCTTTTCACTACAAATCTCGAAGTCATTTCCCTAAGCTTGATTATTCCTCGAGATTTCTGGATTCCCAACCACCTTCCTTCACAGGAGATCACATCAATCCCAATCTATTAATGATACTTCCATTTGTCTCACTATCACCTCACATGAGGCCTCTCTGAGCTTCTCTAACCAGACTGGAATGGAACCTTAGCAATGATACAAAACAGGTTGGAATGCTGAAAGGTGCAACTCAAATGTAAGCCTACACACTTAGATAAATACTGTTACTTCGACCGCACCAGTCTCTTCTTGAACTTCCTAAATTTTCTCACTGCCCTGGCACGAGTCCATAAACTTAGAGCCAACTCCAAAACAAAAAAGTAGGAAGGAGTGCTGTCGATGGCCTATATTATTTCCCACCAGCTACTGCGAATGCACCCAAAAGGATCGATTCAATTTTCCCAAGTGTACCTTCAACCTCACACTGGCTCAAAGCACTATAACAGCAGGTGCGCATTATTGCCGAAAGGCTCTAACCACCATTTATCAAATTAAGGTGAACAAAACAAAAGAGTTCCTGTAGCCCTTCAGTTCCCTTGTAGCAAAATAAGAATTCTCAACCCCCATAAAGGTGCCACACAGTTGTCTCAAGATTTAAACACTTCTAGATTACATATGTCAGCCTAAGCTCAATTCTTTTCATCATTAAGGAAAACTTCCAGCTGACATAGGAGATTGTAATGAAGATTTTCCTGGCAAACTCAGAAAGTAGAAGTGCAAGACAGCTTTTTGTATGTAATGTAATGCAATCTCCCCAAAAAAAAAAAAAAAAAACTGGTGAAGTAACCAAAGAATACACGGATTGGCAATGCTTAGAACTGTGTCCTACTAGCTCAAAGATACATATGAGCATGTGTATGTGTGAATGCATAAAAATTCCAAACTAAAACTCAAAACCTAAAGTAAAATATGTACATGTATACATTCGGTAATATATGCATGCACCCAAGATCCTTGGTAATAAAACCTGATCACAGGCTGCTCATTGGATGATTAAGTTTCAGCTTCCACCAGAGAAGTGATCATCATCCTCGATTAGAGGTCTGTCCTATCATTTCATATGAATCTCAATACAAAACCTTACTTAGTTTTAAAAACAAGCAATGTAATCATTACAGAACAAAACTTGATGGCTGTCCAAAGTCAAAGATAAGATCTTCATTGTATACCTTACAAAAGGTAAAGCAGGATCAGCGCAGCGGGTTCCTGAAGGGAGCCTCTCAGCTGAATTTGCAAGTGCACTTGCAAGACCATTTTGCCCAGCAGGTGTGATTAGAGGATAATAAGATCTCAGAAGACGTGCTGCTGCACTCCATGCAGTAAGAGGATCTCCTGCACGGACGGCAGACAGAAGAATCTCCCTCAATACAACCATCTGCAGGGTGCTCCACTGGGATGCAAATAGTGAAACTATCGAGTGGTGATGCATTTTCCCACCATCAGCATGAGTTGATCCAAATCCCTTTGTAACATCAAAAGAAAAAGAAACAAAAAACAAAGGTTTAGAATGCGTAATCGACAAAAACAAACTGAGAATACACAAAGAAGGACCCCCAAAAAAATGTCATCGGACTATTTTACATTTCAATTTCAGAGATTCACTTAAAACATTAGTAAAAAACGAAAAGAGCAAAGATAAATTGTAGTATATCAAAAAAAAAAGTGGACCCTGCTGCACCAAAAGTGCTCAAAAACTGAAATCTGCTTAACTTCTGAGATTCCTGCCACTCATACAATCTCATGGATTACAATGTGAACACTTCATGTCAAGTACTGCATCAATTTTCCTAGACATCACTGTACATTGGTGTTCATTTTAGAAATGGTCTATAAAATTGAGAATTTTGAAACAAGGAAAAATCATCAATACCTCAACAAAAAGTCTGAAGCTCTATACAATCTTCTAGGTGATCCTAATAATATGGCTTGGACTACATACATAAAGACTCTAACAAATAGAACCACATAAACCCACTAACGATGATACAAAAGAAACTCATGGGTCACAACCAACACCCATTTCCAAAAAAATTAGGAACTACCAAAAGAACCTCGACTATGAAATATAGGTATCCATAAGCACAACCGACTAGCTGCACGCCTTCGTAAAACTAAAGTGCAAATACACAAGATCCCAAGTGGCTTCAATTCGAAATTGAAACAATTTCCAATCTGTTTTTAACTGCATCAATCAAATCTCCAGTATTATTAGCATCATGAGCCAATAATTATAATTTTAGTGTAAGTGCACCTGGAGTCGGGGACTGATGATCTTACTACAACCAGCGAGAAGGATGTAAAAATTTTAGAATTTAGAGAAATGTTTCTGGAAAGAATGGGCATTCTTTTTTCTTTGTCTTTGACATACTTGATAGTAAGCTTGTATTGCCATAAAATGGGAGATCTATTAGTTCCTGTCTTGCTAGTCCTCATAAAATAATTCTACCCAAGTTTGGCTTATCATTGCCAGGTTACAAGCCATGAAACATGAATACTTCGATCAGGTTGACATATTCGTATTTGATGTATATCGGATACAAATACTAGTGGATACGTATCAAATACTTTTTGCACGTATTGAATAATTAATAAAATATTTATCATTGTTGGATACTTGTAGGACACACCTTGGATACACATACCTCCATGGTGAATACATTCTACTTATATTTATTGAGGTGGATTGTGTAGAAACCATGATCATACAAATGGGGATTCCTTGTTCCAAGATGTTCAGGAAGTGCATCACATATGCCACAAGAATGGGCACTTCTTCATAATTTGTTATGCTGAATAATGAGTTTTTATCACTTATAGCAAAGCTAATGAAGTCAATTACAATTAAATGTTAAAGTAAAAGTTGAGGACTCTCGAAAGGTGACACATGTTCAACTTTAGAATTACGTAAAACATTGGATTCAAAACACCATTAAGCAGTCCATAAGTCAGTAAGATAAATTGTTTTATCACTTAATCCTCATAGTCCTAGGATTTTGATATATATATATATATATACTACTTTCTAAGATTTTATCATATTGCCACATCCGTATTCGTGCTTCCTAGGTTACAAAAAATACTGATTTGAGTTTCTTGCAGTATGTATCAATAAATCTACTGATTGTTTTTACCTTGATGGTTTATATCCTTCCCTTAACTTGTGAGTATAAAATTTCGTGATAGTCACCAGCACATGTTTGGTCCTTTCTGTTTATGCCTAAAAAAGTTCTAGACTGCCATCCTTTTGTGCTGAATTGAAAGCTTTTAAAATAAGAAATTGCTAGTAATAAGTAGTAAGCAGCAGTAAGTGTGTGATGTTTGTGCAAAGTAAATAAAAAGCAGTAAATGCATGAATATCATCCTATAGCAGTAATTATACATCCCAAACGCAATGAATAGTGTATGTAGTCAAAGTATTGCAGGAGCACCAGTTTTGTTTTAAAACTCACATCAAGGATAGAATGATTGGCAATGGATGCTCTACTTTCAACACGGTATGCTTTAGAGGTCATTGCCAATACTTGCATGGCACTAATGGCAGCCAAACTATTTTCTTGTTGCAAATACAATTGTGCCACCTGCCTGGAGAAAAAGGCAGCTTTCCGGAAATAACCAATAGTTCCAAATAGCCGAGCTATTTCAACATACAGTATCAGCCTGTCACTGGCATCAATCAGGGATTTTGCTCCATCTGCAGCAGCTGTCAACAACTCCACCACCTCCTTAGCCAGCTCTCGTCTGTCAACAACAATAAAATTTTTGATATGATAAACTGTCTTCAGAAACAACATGTCACTTAAGGATTGCTTTTTTTTTTTTTTCAGAGATCACGAACAATGCTAAATTCATGAGTGGCACCGGACGCTTCTTTAAAGTCCTGAGTCAAATTTGACAACACCTATACGAGACAGATTGGACTGCTCGATTGACACCAAGAATCATATTCATGAAATAACAAGAATTATCCATAAAATACTGAAAATAAGAATTAACTACAAAATATATAAAGCTTAGGTAGCTTCTTCTCTAGACAAAACCTGTCAAGTTTACTAACACCAATACGTTAGTCACATTCTAAAGTGTATTTTAAATTCCAATTTTAAGAAATTCGGGCCTCTTTAAATAGACAAAAATTGAATCTATCAAGCCTAATGATAGAGATCGAAAAGGGATTGGATGAACTTAAATTGAAGAATTGAATTTTATTATTTGTTTTAGTATTATTTTATTAGTTAGGGAATATTTGTTTGACTAGGAGTATTAATTAGAGTATGATTAGGGAATTATTATAGAGTTTTAGTAGGATAGGGATTTGAAAATTTAATTATGAAACTCTTTTAGAATTTTAGTAGCAGAATAGTTTTTATTTTGGTAGGGAATTTGGCCGATAAATAATAGTGTAATCCCAATTATTGTAATTAGAGAGAGTGATATAATAAAAAGTGATTCTCCGTGGAGAATTTGTGTGTTTCTTCACCGATTCCTTGCGAGGATGATGTAAACCTCTATCACACCCTCTTCTTTCTTCTTCTCTTTCTATTTTGTGATTTCTAGTCCTACATCACCTAATCTGTATATCTAAGCTTCATCAACTTCAACAGGATATCTGAACAGTTCTGGCAACTTCATTTAGAAAAGGGAAGGAAGATTAAAAATAATTTCTTACCAAATGTGAATCGGTATCTTCCCAAATATTTTTGCCCCTTTCCAGAATACACAAGACCCAATTTCACCAAACTCGTGAATATTTGGCAATTTTTGATTCATCACTGATACGAAAATTATGTTGTGATGCACTTTTTGATCTTTTGCCAAAACAAAAAAAGACATTAATACCACTCAGAATTGATGAAAATGAAGAAGACAAGAGGAAATGAGCACCACTTGGTAAACGTCTCCACATTTCCAATAAGAAGGCAATATATAAACCCATCAGGTCGACTCCCTCTCTCTACTTTCCAAAGTCAGCCTCAAAGACGATAGGAAACTATCCACGAATTTTGTCCCATATACAAATCTAAATCACAGGACCAGGCTGCAGTGATCACAAAAAAATAAAATAACTTAACTGTATAGCAAGTCTACCTGCAGAGAAATCTTGCCAACTTTAATGTAGCCTCAAGTTCAAAGCTTAGGGGTGAAACCCTGCATCGATTAGAAAATAGAAGGACTACCGTCAAGCAGCTTCAGATATGAGAAAACTTCATTGATATGAGGAATCATGTAAATACAAAAATAAGAGGATTGTGCCATTCAAGTTTTTTGACATTTCAGCCAACTATATCTATATAAGATAACTTAACAGTACTAGTACGATTAAAAGGAAGGGATTTTTGATTCAGCNATGATTAGGGAATTATTATAGAGTTTTAGTAGGATAGGGATTTGAAAATTTAATTATGAAACTCTTTTAGAATTTTAGTAGCAGAATAGTTTTTATTTTGGTAGGGAATTTGGCCGATAAATAATAGTGTAATCCCAATTATTGTAATTAGAGAGAGTGATATAATAAAAAGTGATTCTCCGTGGAGAATTTGTGTGTTTCTTCACCGATTCCTTGCGAGGATGATGTAAACCTCTATCACACCCTCTTCTTTCTTCTTCTCTTTCTATTTTGTGATTTCTAGTCCTACATCACCTAATCTGTATATCTAAGCTTCATCAACTTCAACAGGATATCTGAACAGTTCTGGCAACTTCATTTAGAAAAGGGAAGGAAGATTAAAAATAATTTCTTACCAAATGTGAATCGGTATCTTCCCAAATATTTTTGCCCCTTTCCAGAATACACAAGACCCAATTTCACCAAACTCGTGAATATTTGGCAATTTTTGATTCATCACTGATACGAAAATTATGTTGTGATGCACTTTTTGATCTTTTGCCAAAACAAAAAAAGACATTAATACCACTCAGAATTGATGAAAATGAAGAAGACAAGAGGAAATGAGCACCACTTGGTAAACGTCTCCACATTTCCAATAAGAAGGCAATATATAAACCCATCAGGTCGACTCCCTCTCTCTACTTTCCAAAGTCAGCCTCAAAGACGATAGGAAACTATCCACGAATTTTGTCCCATATACAAATCTAAATCACAGGACCAGGCTGCAGTGATCACAAAAAAATAAAATAACTTAACTGTATAGCAAGTCTACCTGCAGAGAAATCTTGCCAACTTTAATGTAGCCTCAAGTTCAAAGCTTAGGGGTGAAACCCTGCATCGATTAGAAAATAGAAGGACTACCGTCAAGCAGCTTCAGATATGAGAAAACTTCATTGATATGAGGAATCATGTAAATACAAAAATAAGAGGATTGTGCCATTCAAGTTTTTTGACATTTCAGCCAACTATATCTATATAAGATAACTTAACAGTACTAGTACGATTAAAAGGAAGGGATTTTTGATTCAGCCAAGTCCAAGTAACGAATCGTTGTTTACATGTGTGATGCTTAATCTCATTCCAGGATATAAATCACCAGAAATGCGCCTTGCTTGGCACAACTTTATTGAAAACAGAATCAGTAAGTGGCAATTATGAAAACTACAAGAAATGGAGTAGAATAATGTCTACAGCCTACCAGCATAGGTTAAGAGTTTATAAAGGCCCTGTGACCTGGACATGCTTTTCTCAAGTACCAATCTAGATTATCCATCTCATATCCTTTGCCTTGCATTGCTGCTAATAAATTATCAGCATTTCAATCCTATCAGAGTCCATGTAAGGGAAAATTAAAATTAGGTTATCAAGGGAGACAAACACATTGCTTTTCAATGTCGGAGTGAGAACTTTTTCTCCTAATATAAACCCATATCCCAACTGACTGAAAAAATAAATGCTCACTTTCTCTACCTACCAACATAATTCAATGTATCGGCCGATACCGACACAAGTCGGCCGAGTCGGATATCAGCACCTTCCAAAACGATATTGTTATACAATACGTACAAACCCCGAGTCTAGCATGACTCGGCCGAGTCTAGCATGACTCGGCCGAGTCATCCTAATTGTATCCAAGTCAATTCCAAATCATCAAGTTATCGTCACCGGATCGTCTGATACGGTTCCATAACACCGCAACATAACCTAAATCTCTTATTATGTTTAACATTTTCTTTTAGGCTGCATCGCCCGATTCCGCGACGCGATGCTACGACCGATGTGTCTTAGAGCTCTCCGAGTCGATAGCCAATACCGCGACCTTGAACCACGCCTACCAATGTACCTTTAGTACGCCAATCTTACATTCTCCAAAAGTAACCCAGGATTTGACACCTGAGAGGAGACAAAGCTTAAAAAGCACGCAGTACATAGATGTTGCAGATAACACTGATCACAAAAGCAGAACTTGGAAAATGTATGCAAAGAATTAGATGGTTTCTGATGCAGTCTTACAGTAGAAATCACGTGTGAGGGTAGAATCCAACATAAGAAGAGAGGTGTGGGTAAGGACAAATATACATTGGATAGTTTCACCTACAAGCTTAAGCTTGACCACATATTTGTTGGACTCCTCAGTCTTCCATTTTATTCAATTTGTTCTCTCACTCACTCTTCTCTATGTATCGATTGACCAACTTCGTCAACAAAATTGACCTCACAAGCTCTCATGTTATGATCCACAGTCAGCTGGACAATCATGTTAGAATGGTACAATCAAACATATAGGTCATCATTCCTAATGTATATCATCTAGTCCAGGCACATAGAAGATACACACAAGCACAATATAAGTCAAACTACAGTTGGAGCATCACATATACTCCGAATAATACTCTGGAGTAATATACATCAGAAAGATAGAAATAAGAACCAAGTACCTCTGAGCATTGTCTTGTATAAACGACTTTCTGTAATGCACAATGACGCTGTTATACCGGAACTTCACTTCCTCCTCTAAAACTGGATCCTTCTGGCCCATTCGATCTATCTAACAATACAGAAAATACAAAATGATATATGCCAGCCAAATTTTTAGAATGGATTACAGGCATACACAATCAAAAAGCTTGCAAGTAGGAATTTGAAATTATTCAAGAGAAATCACCAACCCAAAACATATCATCTTTATTGCACTCAACATACAATCATTTCACCATGCTCAACCTTGGAGTGTTCATTTATTTCTTATGATCAATAAGTGGAAACACAAAGCCAACAATGTTTTGGATGGCTAATCATATCAAAGAAATAAAAACTAAATCAAAAAGTGGTAGATATATTTTACTTCAATTTTTTACAGTATGGATAGTTTAGTGATTGAATAAGTTAATAAATGATTGAATCGTATTTTACTGGTCATAGTTTTCATATATAGATATTATGCAGGGTCGAAGTATTTTAGGCAACTGGAAACCTGTGTCTTGTACTGGTCTTATGATCAAAGTTGGGAACCAAATTTGCTTGGATATGAAAAACCACTCTTATTGGATAGAAGATAAGCAAGAAATCAGATTGTATGTTTCTTTAGCTTTTTCAATTTATTTCTTTTCTGGGTTCATTTGGAACCCTACACCTTGTGCTTGTCAAGCCAACCTAGCTAGAGTATAACAAATTTCTCTACTACTTTTATGGAATTGCAAAATCAGACCAAACAATAAGAATTCTACAAACTTTGGCCTTGATATGAGGATCCAATTAGTTCCCTCACTTCACGTAGCATCGTCCAAAATAATTGAAATCACAACTTACCACTCAACATATCATAAAAACACACAACCTGATTTTACAATCATAATTTAGTAAAGTTTGGATTATCTCAAGATCGCTAAAAATTGTTGTTTAATTGAAAACAATTCCAGTTATTTATGACTAAACTAGACAATTCCACAGTGGCAATGCACTCATATTGATGCCAGTAGCTATTGATTTATAGTCATCTTAGATGTTAGATCACATTTTGTAATTAGCAAATTTTGTGGAGTTCATTGTAAATATCAACCTTTTCTATGGTCATGATACTATCAAGTTGAAGATCTAAAAGTTTCATCATTATTCATGCACCTTGCTTAGGACAAAGGTAATAACCTAGACACCTAAGATTGACCCTTAATTATTTTAACTTAGGATAATTAGGATTAAATGGAATTGGAAGCAATCCGTATATGGCTCCTAGGTGTTTTGAAATGAAAAAATTTTGCTAAACAATTTATATTTTAAAAATATAGTTTGAGCCATTAGCGAACCCTTTTGAGCAACACCTTTTAGTACTCAAGAAGACAAATTTTTTGCTTATTTTTAGGCTTAAAAAATCAATAGGGACCACCTATGCTCGATAGCTTGGTCTTTTTATGACTTGGGGAAGAAAATGAGAAAATACCACAACGGGGGTAATGGGCTCACTCTATGAGCTCACTCGAGCGGTCCTTTGACCTCGCTCGAGTGGTCCCATGGCCGCTGCCCTCCCACCGATCGAGCAATCATTTGAAAATTTTTATTCTTTTGTTGACAAAAACTACCCTTATTCAAGACCTATAAATAGGGAGAGTCTTTCTCACAGTTAGGTTAAGCCTCTTGTGAGATTTTTTAAAAAAGAAAAATTACTTTCTACCTTGAAAGTTTCCACCATTAACCTAGATCCGTAAAATCCAAAGGTACCACTAGAGATTTTACCTAACCTCACAAATTGGAATTGAAGATCTTGATGGTTTGACAAACTCATTGGTGTGTGCATACCGAGAATCGTTGGTGTGCTCATGATTGCTCGAGGCCTAGACGCATCATGCAGCGAAGAGTCCAACTAAAGCAACACAAGATGTCAAAGGGGTTTTTTGGCAGAGAGACATACAAAAAAAATGAGCATCTAGTCATGGTATTAGTTGAGGTATAAGATTAGAATACTTGTATGTTGACTTTGTAAATAGTAGATTAGGTTTTGGTGATCCCCAAATAATTCTCCGCAGTTTTTTCCAAAGAAGAGTTTTACGCACCAACAAAGCGCTTGTGTTCATATTGTTCATTTACATATACAACTTGTGATTGTTTGCACACACGCACATTAAAAGTTTGATGATTTGAATTCTTGACATCAAAATCAATCATAGATGTGTTTGGGTTTGGGTTTTGGGATCCCCGTGAGATTGAGTGTTCAACTAAATTAATTGAAGATTAATTAACATCAATCGTCATGGATTATTTGGATTGTGTTGATTAAAGGGGTTCTCACTATTCATTGTTCAATTAGAGTGAGAAAAAGTAATTGTGGTCGAACTAGGTTTTAATCGGTAATTAATTGGGCTAAAATTGAAAATTTTATTCAAAAACCCCCCTCAAAACCTCTAGGTAGTGTCGTGCGGTCCACGTATATAATCATGAGGGAAGGTCCACATTGTTTCTCCCCCTCCCGGAACATTATATTTTTTAAGTAATTCCTAAAATAGTTTTCCATCATACATATTATTCTGCCATCCTATCAAATATAGCTCAGTTGAAATTTACACATCACACTATAATTTCCACATCCTTGGGCTAAGAGAATCATGCTCTCTTCACACACATGCATACATGCCCAGATAAAGAGGAAAAATGTTCCTCTGCATATTGTGCTAGCACTCAGTTTTTCCTTCTTTTTTTCCTTGTTTTTAAAGGTTAGCACTCTGCATGTGGAGAGTAGAAATCTGGTCCACTGTCATTTATCAGAATGATTTCAAGCTTATCTTGGATCACAGAACATGCTTACCAACAAGGCACAGACGCTGCCCTCTAATGCTCCAGCATACCAGAAATAATCACCAGTCAACCTGGCAAGTTCCAATGCAGTGGAGTAATGGGCATTGGCATCAACAGGTGATCCTGCCAACAAACAATAGTCTCCTATGGTTTTCTGTGCCCGACCAAGTCTCCGTTTTTTTGCCTTGATCACCTGCATTTTTCGTAAACTGAAATAATTAAGTCTCCTAGGTCAATGCAAGGCGTCTCAAGATAAATGACAAGCTTAAATCAACAAAAGAAACTAAAAGAGAGACAAAATCAAATCCTTAGGACACCTAAAACATAAACCTCCTCTGAGCTGAGACTGGCTTGAGAATCTAAAGGTGTTTTAAGAATGGTTCCAGAAGATTCTGCTTTGAGAACCCATTTCTCAAATTCCATCAACAGTGAGGCGGCAATATCTTGCACCATCGTTTGTAAGTGGAATTCCTGAGTTTGTCGATCAGCAGGAGGAAACAAAATTAACGTTCTCCCCTTTTTGCTGTCATCCTCTAGCTGCAACATTACAGGAACAATGCATTTTAGCCGCCTGACAAGTATAAGAGTTAAAACTGGGACAGCGAAAGGGATTGCATAGAAGTGTTCCCTTTATCTAAAATGTCTAAATCATCACAAAGGAATTGACTGTATAAATTTCTACAAAAAAAAAGNGCAGAGAGACATACAAAAAAAATGAGCATCTAGTCATGGTATTAGTTGAGGTATAAGATTAGAATACTTGTATGTTGACTTTGTAAATAGTAGATTAGGTTTTGGTGATCCCCAAATAATTCTCCGCAGTTTTTTCCAAAGAAGAGTTTTACGCACCAACAAAGCGCTTGTGTTCATATTGTTCATTTACATATACAACTTGTGATTGTTTGCACACACGCACATTAAAAGTTTGATGATTTGAATTCTTGACATCAAAATCAATCATAGATGTGTTTGGGTTTGGGTTTTGGGATCCCCGTGAGATTGAGTGTTCAACTAAATTAATTGAAGATTAATTAACATCAATCGTCATGGATTATTTGGATTGTGTTGATTAAAGGGGTTCTCACTATTCATTGTTCAATTAGAGTGAGAAAAAGTAATTGTGGTCGAACTAGGTTTTAATCGGTAATTAATTGGGCTAAAATTGAAAATTTTATTCAAAAACCCCCCTCAAAACCTCTAGGTAGTGTCGTGCGGTCCACGTATATAATCATGAGGGAAGGTCCACATTGTTTCTCCCCCTCCCGGAACATTATATTTTTTAAGTAATTCCTAAAATAGTTTTCCATCATACATATTATTCTGCCATCCTATCAAATATAGCTCAGTTGAAATTTACACATCACACTATAATTTCCACATCCTTGGGCTAAGAGAATCATGCTCTCTTCACACACATGCATACATGCCCAGATAAAGAGGAAAAATGTTCCTCTGCATATTGTGCTAGCACTCAGTTTTTCCTTCTTTTTTTCCTTGTTTTTAAAGGTTAGCACTCTGCATGTGGAGAGTAGAAATCTGGTCCACTGTCATTTATCAGAATGATTTCAAGCTTATCTTGGATCACAGAACATGCTTACCAACAAGGCACAGACGCTGCCCTCTAATGCTCCAGCATACCAGAAATAATCACCAGTCAACCTGGCAAGTTCCAATGCAGTGGAGTAATGGGCATTGGCATCAACAGGTGATCCTGCCAACAAACAATAGTCTCCTATGGTTTTCTGTGCCCGACCAAGTCTCCGTTTTTTTGCCTTGATCACCTGCATTTTTCGTAAACTGAAATAATTAAGTCTCCTAGGTCAATGCAAGGCGTCTCAAGATAAATGACAAGCTTAAATCAACAAAAGAAACTAAAAGAGAGACAAAATCAAATCCTTAGGACACCTAAAACATAAACCTCCTCTGAGCTGAGACTGGCTTGAGAATCTAAAGGTGTTTTAAGAATGGTTCCAGAAGATTCTGCTTTGAGAACCCATTTCTCAAATTCCATCAACAGTGAGGCGGCAATATCTTGCACCATCGTTTGTAAGTGGAATTCCTGAGTTTGTCGATCAGCAGGAGGAAACAAAATTAACGTTCTCCCCTTTTTGCTGTCATCCTCTAGCTGCAACATTACAGGAACAATGCATTTTAGCCGCCTGACAAGTATAAGAGTTAAAACTGGGACAGCGAAAGGGATTGCATAGAAGTGTTCCCTTTATCTAAAATGTCTAAATCATCACAAAGGAATTGACTGTATAAATTTCTACAAAAAAAAAGGAAAAAATTGGCATCCCACTAAACAAGATGCCTTTGATTTCCATAAATGTTCAAGAGATAAAACAAAACAAAGCAAGACCTTTATCAATTTTTTGAATAACTAAACAGTAATGTTTGCAAACTCTGATAGAAAACAAACAGCTGATCAGCAAATTTTAGTTACTTTTTGCCAAGAATTGTTATTAGTAGTAACCTCCAAAGATTTTTATTTGGAAACAATCACCTATTCATGGTTCATCAATAATACGATAATAAAAACATCAGTAAATATATGTCAACTGCAAAATCAAACAAATTTGAGAAGTATAAACAGCATGTTTCAAAGATGTTGCAGGAATGCATGGAAAAGGCCCGTATCAATAATTATCATTTTACGTATGGACAATTCCTCAATATCTTGTTCATTCGCAACAAGATAGATCATTTTGTGAAACCATTCTAACAGTGAATGTTTTCATAGTTTATAACGTCTTCAGATCAATTAAATGTTTGACTCCCACCAGAAAGCAAGAACAGGACTACGTCTTCTAAATTTACAAACAAACATAATATATGTCTTCTAAAAATTGCTTCAGTTGTGTATACATCTCTTACCCCATAACTAGCAAGAACACGATTACCGCTTCAAATAACAAATAAGCATGCCTCACATGTCTCCAGAAAATCTCTTTGGTAATTGAATACATGGCCCTTTCAATGATCATCAACTCCTTCACACAGCATAGCTACTCAACAAATAATGAAACTACTGAAAGAAAGGATCCATTTAATTATAAACACGAGGTGGATTGCCATTCATAAGAACTGCCTAGTGGACAGAAAGAGAAGTATTGCCTAAAATGCTAAAATAAACAAGTGTGACATATATTATGGGTTTTCAAGTTAAAATACTTTGCTTATCTCCATACCAAAGCACTACACCCATGCCTTTTCTACATCATAGCTAGATTATTTACTTGACATTGATAACAACTTCAACACTTTCATACGTGTAGCAAAAATCCATCGTATAAGCAGTGGCTGAAGCAGAATTGCAATAGAAAAATAGCACACCTTGGGATTTTAAGAAATGCACCAAAAATTAAATAATTATAATGTCAATTTATCATCAATTATGTACAGACATTATTGATATATGAGGGTGGTCAATTTTCAAAAATTACAAAGCTTGCAAGACAACACCAAGATCGAATGCCCACCTGATGCAAAAAATAATTAGATTCAAAAAATAAAACATGAAGAGTAAAGGGCTCAATGAATTTGTTGGAAAACATTTTGCAAACGCCCAAAGACCAAAGCATTCTGCAGTCGCTCAACTTATGAACAAGTCAGCTTTTCCATACGGTGAAATTGGAAATGTGATATCGACAAGAGAAGCTGCCCCAAAACCAAAGCTTTTTTAGTTGCTGCACATATAAGCAACTCAGCTTTTCAACAGTTAAATTGCAATAATGTCAGAGACAATAGCCTGCCCAAGAGATATCGACAGCCAACTTTAGATCATAACATTCCTGACTGGAAACTGCAAACTGCAACTGATATTTTCAAAACTAAGGATACCATATCTCGAAGGAGAAATTCATCAAAGTTACACACCACCATATTCATAGGATATTTCAAAATGACCCTCTTTTAGAAAATTCCCAAGTTTCTTGCAGACAACAGTACTTGAAAATTGTAGAAGATTGTTGAAATCTGCTCCAGTTAGAACTAAACCTCAGAATTCTCAAGGCACTAACAGTAACTTAGACATTCGATCATGCACCCAGCCAATTTGTACAGCACAGATTCTGAGTTCGTCAATTTTTTCCTGAAAACCTATTTCAAGCAATCCTTCTTTTTCTTCTCCTTCATAAACTTTAATTTTCAATTCTCTCGCCATCCAAATGGAAATTCCTCTCAATTTGCACACTTTGCGTCATTGTAACTGTCACAACATCCTTAAGAGTGCCTCTTAGGGTTCCTCTCAAAGGTTTTTATTGCATGTCAATTCCTGTTATTTACCATTATAGTTAAGTCATTGACTAGCCTCCTGCCACATCCTATGTCAAGATACACAAATCATCCAGGATGTATAGAAGGTCTGCAGCTTTGGATTCTCACTTCCCCTTTGGAACAATCAAAGGTATCCACCCTCTCGAGTAAAACCCAGTGAAAATTCAAAAGTGATTTATTAATGCAAGTAGCTACAAATATTGATTATAGAAAGGTTAAATCACCTCTCTCTCCCTCTCACTAACGTAACCTAGCAGCTCGGATTTTAAAGCATTAGAGGCTGCAGTACTCCATCTACAGCTGGTTAATAGTTACGCATCTACATCAACCCTTCTCCATGCACAGAATCAAACATAACATATGTTCAAGCATAACAAGCTTTTAGTTTCCCTCACAGTGTTATTATCTAGAATATTGAATCAGGAACCACCGCGATTCAGGAGTACTCTAAGTGATCACCTAGTACGACAAAGCAAAATCCAACATCCTCAAAAAAATAAAAATTAATGACTTCAAATTCCAAATTTAATATGTTTCAAGGGTGCACTAAGTGATCACTTACTCTGACTTACTTCAAACCAGTCCAATATGTGTTACCCGATCTATCAATAATCATGACATGGAAAATATGAAAAATTCATGGTTCCAAAGTCACCTTTTACAGAAAGTCCGAATTCCACAAACAAAAATTAAAACAAGTACAGAAACAAACCTGAGAATCACCGGGACAAAATGCAAAACAGCGCTGAACAAGAGACGAAGAGTAACCCTTACACGCAGTCCCAAACTGCTCGATAACGGAGTCAAGATCGGGGGAAGATGGGCAGTGGCAAATGCCAATAACGGCGAGGATTTTCCGGTGAGATTGGAAATCTTCCCAGGGACTAGGCGGTGATCCGCCGAGCATGAACTTGAATCGGAGACTACCGGAGTCCCATGGTTGCTGAGAGAAGGGGGATTTTTGGTGCTCGGTGTAGAAGGAGCTAATTGAGGAGAGAGAAACGGTGTGGTGGCGGACGAGACTGGAAGTGTAGTCGCGGAAGAGAGACGTTGGGATTGGGCCGATCGGGACGACGGCGACTCGGATCATGCAGCTCGTCTCGATGCTCACGTCGGGCTCCATTGCTCTGCCGTGAACGGTGGTTGGGAGAGGTGGAAGTGGAGAGAGAAAGGCTAGAATCGGAGAGTGAGTATGGTATTTCGGTTAGGGCTAAATGGACAATTACCACTTTTTACTTGTTTTTTTCAACGGAATAAGGTCATACACGGTTTTCGGTGGGGTAGATTCGGATTAAATATTGATTGTAGCGTTAACAAGAGATTATCACGTACTGTTATTATGTGCAATAGTTTGGACATAATGAACGAATTGACAGATTTCACCTCTGATAAATTCGAGTTTGCCTAAAACATTAAAGATTCCACAAGAAATGGGTGTTGAGAAGTCGTAATGAATAGTGAGAAAACTCTTTTACAAACAATTTGCTCACTTGTGAGCTATCAAACTAGGTCCTATCATCCAAAAAAAAATATTAGAATAACACTGAAATATTTTTCAGTACGAGTCTTTTGACGATCAAGTCAATAAGTAAGAGAGGGTGAGAAAAGTAATGTTATATTGCTTGAGTGAGATGTTGTCCACTTTCGACTTGAGTTTTAGAGTATTATATATCTCTCTAGAATCAATCATCGGCTCATTTGAAAATCAGCATATAGTGCTCAGTCCTCGAATAGTGAGCCCTTCTTTTCACCTAGTAGAAGCTTCTACATTTAATACTCAGATTTTTCAGCATTTAATGTTCGCATTTTTGATCTTGCTGAGCAATAAATATGTGTCATCCTTATGTGAGGGTCATTTAATGTTGCCTGATTATGGTTGTGCATGCGCAACAACACTTTCGTCTATTATACCCCAAGGGGCTAACATTTTAAATTTTTATACTTCGTACATCCTTATCATTGATTACTGAACTGTCTTTCCTGCCATTCTGACTGCCTTGGAAAGGGGAATCGATGACTAATAGTCAATTCTGCTTCCAAGTGATGATGCTCTTCTTAACCTCGATCACTGGCATGCTTGTATCAGCTAACTTCCTCTCTTTCTCCTTGGGAACTTAGTCATTTCGTAGGGGCTAGCCATTAGGACGACAGTCAACACTTCGCTGGCGTGAAGGGCTAAACACCGAGAAAATGTGTTGAGCAATTGGGTCTCCGAAGGGCCATCAGCCGAGAAAAATAAGGTTTTTAAATATGGCCAAACCTGCAACTGCCCTTTTCACCCCCACCAAACAAACACTAAGCTCACTTTTGAGGCCACCAATGGATTCCTAAGGTCCAAATTATCTAGAAACAACCCTCCTTCGAAGCTTAGTCAAGGATTTGCAAAGATTAAGTTATCACTTCTTCAAACCCTCACAACACCATTCCACCAACGCACACCACAGCGAACCTTCTCACCCCCCCCCCCAATCACTTCCAAATCCACCCAAGAATACAATCATTACAATCAATTAACTCAGAACATTCAGAAAACCAAAACTCATTTCATCAAACCCGAAACTTTAAATATCAAATTCATGCGACTACAGCTAACGAAACCAAAAATTAATAACATAAATGAATTCCTAGGATCCTAATTAAACAAGAAGTATACCTCAAATCGTTAGAACACCCCTTTGTAGAAAATCGTTCAACAGTTGAGACTTTATATATAGTTTGATTGAATAATTAATTTATTTTGAATAGTTATGCCTATTATAAAATAATATTATTTGAATAGTTGTAATGAGGAAAATATATTATTTGAAAAAAATGTGACCATTGAGAAAACACATTTATTCGGAAAGATTGTGACTTTTAAGAAAAGACACATCTTTAGAAGGGTCACGACTTTTAATGAAATGCACCTATTTGGAGAATTGTATTTTTGGGAAAAGTCACTAAAAACTATATAAATAGGGTTCATTTACACACTAGAGTTATGTATAAACTCATCTCCATTCTCCCCCCCCCTTCCCTCTGAACTAAAACTGTTCAAGGAGATTTTGTATCCTATAAGTGATTTGTCAAGAACCCTCTAGCCAACTCTTCAAGTAGAAGAAAATATCACTTTCAAGAAAGCAATTTTATGTGCCTCAAAGCCTCAATTTTATTCTATTTGTCATTATGCTCGAATTTCCCAATATCAACACACTCAATATATGACTATTTGCACGAATGTTGTTAAAAGTTCAACAATAGTGAAATTCAAGTGACATATGTCAAATACAACAAACATTGTGCTTTGTCGTTGCTACAACTTTAGAATTGATGTATCACCTAAGTGCAGGGTGTCGAGAAATAATGTAATACTCGGAAAGCCGAGGTCATATCACAGGGAATTGGTGATAAACTTGGAACACAAAGAAATCAAAAGTAGAAATTGCTTTGGAAAATAGTTTGAGAGATTTAATTTTAGAAAATAGTAAATTAGGGTTTGAAATAGTAATTGAGAATACTAAAGTACAGGGTATATCCTTCCAACTCCACACAATATTTATTTTATGATCCGATTTTTGAATTCAATTAAAAATTAGCTGATGAGTGGTCTTAATCGAGAGATTTAATGGTGATAATATTGAAAACATATCTAAAGATATTATTGATAAATTACTTAAATAGAAATTAGTATTTAATTATAAATCACACACATTCATCGTGCCCAGAGTCGACGATGAATCAAGTTCTTCAACAATTAAGACCTATTTTTTATCACAAATAAGAAATTAGCTATTTTTATGAATATTCTAATTAATTAGTTTAACACATGCAAAACCAATTATTTGACTGGCATAGAATTTAAAGTATTCGATGTATGTAGCAAAACAAATCAAGATATTTTACAAAACAAAAATTGTAATAGCATACAAGAATTAAGTAAAAGGAAAATATCACACCCCATCTTGAGAGAGTCCTTTGGTTTCCTAAAGATGGAAGTGTAAATCAACACATGACAATACTTACATCTATATGCAATAATGCATTTAAATCAATAATGCCACATAATAACACCATAAATAGATAAACTATATAACAAGTACATAGTAGTGTCGTTTATATAAAACAAAAGATTAGGCATGCCATCCCTTTATAACAATATGGAAAAACAAACACTACCGTACAAAATATACATAAGCAGCTTCCTTAATCTCTCTCAATCTCTACCATGCTAATGTAGTAATGGACCTCACTCTAGACCTTAGCATCCTAAAACTAATAACTTTCTTGAGTGTACTGAACATCGTAATCAAAGGAAATATAACAAAAATATGAATCAAATATCATTCTTCCAAAAAGATATTTATAACATGTAAATCACAACTAAAGTGAACTCAACCCACTTTGAAACTTAAATCAACCTCGTATATCAAAATAATAAATATACGCATGAGCAACGAATCAAACAACAACATTTAAACAATGTCAAACTATCTACAACATTTAAGCAATGTCAAGCTATCTCACAACAATTGTGCAATGTCAAAAATCAACACCATGTAAGTCATGTCAAACTATCAACAATTTTGCACAGTGAATAATACCTAAATCACAAAATTTTCATAAAAGCATATTTGATCTATAATTTAAGCAACTCAACCCAAATCAATTCGACAAAATTGATTTTTCACATACAAGAAAAAAACTATATCATAGACTTCTATTTTCATTTGTTATGAAGCAGGATACTCTCACATTTACCTTTGACATATATCCCTTCTTACTGTACGGTCGATCCCTATGTATAACCGAAGTAGTAGCCTATGACCCTAACAATTAGCATATGTGCAAATGCAAGTGAGCATCGACTCTAAAATTACTCAATTGATGCAAATGAATATACTTCATGGTGTTTCGTATGTATTATAACTCAGTTTTCTCAAACGTTCGAGTGGAAGTTAAAATGGTCGATCAATCGATATTATCGTCCTAATTGACAACTAAGTAGTTCCACATATAGCAAAATGTTTTGAAATAATTTTATTCACTATTTAACCCTTTATTTCATACCACATTTAACTCAACTTACCTGAGTCACTTTAGCCCCATGTTCAATTATTCTCTTTACTTAGGTTGCGTTTGGTAATTTTTTTTTTTTCCATGATAAAAGTTGAAAACAAAAATTATGTTTGATATTCATTTATGTTTACCAAATTATAAAAATAAAAATAAAAAACATGTTTGGTAACCACTTCAAGTTATCCCAATTATTAACTTTATATTATTTCCTACTACAAAATACAACTCAAAATTCCTTATCCCAATACATCCACTAGCGTAAGACATAAATAATTAAATATAGCAATACATACCATTGTTCAACATTATACCAAATAGATACATTAATAAATCATTATCACTTAACTAAAATTTTCAATAATTAGTACAAATACCACGAACAATAGTGCACAAATAAATATCAAAAAAAATTTCAGTAAGTAAGATGAATTTTATTTATCAAAAATATATATACAAAAGGGATTCTCCAATTACATTTGACATCCAAAGGACAAAAAGAAAGAAAAAAGAGGCAGAGGGATGCAAGGTCTTCAAGACAAAGAAGAGGCATCACAGCAACAAAGTCCATAGAGGAATTCTCAAACCAACAGTCCATAAGAAAGCATAAACCTATCATCTTCAGGATCAACAAATCCACAAACATCCAACATTCAAACATAAACATTACTAGGCAATAGTTAGCATAAAAAACCCAGAATAACCATGAAAAAAGGGTAGAACCAAAGTATGAATTTACAACAAAATCAGGATCAGAACATTCAAAGCTATACATATACGCATACAAATCAACTATAAATAATTGATTAATATCAGAATAGCACAATTGCATAGAAAACCCTCACCTTCATCTCTTTCTATCTCTGTCTCACTCTCTTTCTCTCTATCTCTATCTTTTGTCTCTCTCTGTGCAAATCGCAATTTTGTGGTGTTGAAATGTTAGGATTTTAATTGTATATGTACTTTTGTGCATAAAGTTGAGGGTTATTGTAAAAGTTAGCTTCTAAAAGAAAAAAAAAGGGAAGGTTATTGTAAAAGTTGTTTCCTTGAATAAGAACTACCATGGACAAAGTACTCAAGAACCTACACACCAATACTCACTCACACCCACACCCACAAACACACACACACAACAAAC